TCACAGACCCAACTCTTTTGATAGAGCATAGCAACCTTCTAATTAAATTCTAATTATAGGGACGGTGTACAAAAAACAGTTACTTGCTCGATGCAAAGACTTTTTTTTTTTAACTTCAAGGAACTTGAAAGGCCAAACGCGAGACGGAAATGTCACAAAAGCCGAACGCAAAGTGATTGTTCCGGTATTGTCCCTCTTTGCGACAAAAGTCTTCCAAGAAAAAAAAATGACCTCCTGTTATTGTGTCAGTTTTGAGAACTGGTCTCACTTTTCAGGTTATGACTGCAAATCTCCATTTTAGTACCACTAACAATGATTAAATAGGTGGCTTTTTCAAAGTTATATCTTCAGCAACACGACAAATACAATGCCTCACTGCCTAGAATATCATGGGTTAGGAGAGAGAAACATTTTGATGGGCGCGTATACTCCCAGGGCTAATACAAATGGGTTTACAGAATAATTAAGCCTGGTCACAAGTGGATGCGCACATTGTTTGCAGAAAACAGAAATGTCGATGTTGCTGCTGCTTCTTCACGTTCAATAATTTAATTCCTTCTCTGCTGTTTTGGACACTGCCATTATTCTTAATTCTCCTAACTCTTTGACCAATAAATTACAAACTTCCTTGAAGACATGCACCGAGGATTATACATAAAAATAGGATAATCAAAGTTCAATTGAATTTTAAACAGAACTCCATCAGTTCTTATTGACTCTGCTTAAACTGCTTTAATCATGGCCTAAAATAACCAGAAGGATTTGGAACTAAATCCATGTCGTTTCTGTTTTATATTGATGTGTATATCATATCAAGCATTTTTTATAAGTTACTTCTCTTCCAGTAAATTATTATGTCTACTGCAAATGATAGCCCCTTCACGAAAGTGCCACAACTTTCTTATACATTCTACTTATTTCCAAAACATTATTAAAATAATTAAATAGAAATAAGTCAAACAAAATGTTCTCATACTCAAAAGTATAAAATTTATACCAAGGGATATTAAATTAAATACAAATGTACAAATATTCAGACTGGCAGACTGAAGGAATCAAACTTATTTAGTCTTGAAAAGTGAAGACTGCGAAGGGACTTGTTACAAATATGAAAAATCCTCAAAAGGCCCTGACAAAGGCACCACAGTCTGCTGAAAGGAAGCACTTAAGTCAGTAAAGAAAGTTGCGATGGGTTCACAACTGCAATTACAACTGTTGTGTTCTGTGAAACTTTATTCATTTTTTTTTAGTTTGACCCACCAACACAAAATCTTTTCTTATTAATCCTGACATACAGCCAGCAATAAATCTCTATTTACAAGTCTATTAAACCAGCTAGGACTGTGTCTTTGAATATTGACTGCCACTGAACTTCTATAGGAAAAACTCAAAAAAGGTTCATGACATGGCTACAATTATAACCCCTAAAACTGCAAAACCCCAAATCACATTAACCTGTAAAAAAAGCCCAGCAACAGAACAGTTGCACTTTCCATTGCACTTTCCATTTCTGGTCATTTGAAAGTACTAGAATTTGCAAAACAATAAAACCTGTGTGCCACTCACTTCCTCATGATCTCTCTATTGAGCCACATTCAATATCCAGTACTCAATGCCAGAATATACCTTCCTCAATTCAATAAGTAATTAGACCAAATGCTTCTGTAAGGTAGCACCTGTATTATTCTCTGGGCAAGGCATTTCAGAAATCTGTGTTTTACATACCGAAGTTGTCTTGACTTAACCATGCCACTCCATTCCAAACACCTTAAACTTCTTACTGTGGGCATCTTGTACAACTGATATGTAAACTGTGAATCTATTATCTTTAAATTTTGTTTTTCATCATGTCAGCTAAATATTTAAAGCAACATCAATGTTAAGTCATTTCTGTCAATATGGTAGGCAAACATTGTATTCTGTTGTGACTCGGATCAAGCCTAAATCACGGAATAGCTTCGTTTCACTTCTTTTATGATTAAATTCATTGTGGGAAGTCATTGTGTGGAATATAACTGACCAAATGCGAGATTTAAAATGTTAATTTGAAGAACTGAATCTGAAGGAGAGCACTTTATGCATCTTTAAATCATGCTTGGCAGGTCTGTGGGAGGGCTATCTTGTCACATTATACTTCCATCTAATTAGCACCTTGATTGCATTATGATCTTGTACATGCAGGATATCATGTCATGCAGTGTCATGCAGCTGAAAAACAAATCAGGAAAAAGTTGTTTTAATCCCTGTGAAGAAATTACACTGCTTCTTTAGCAGTCATGAACTGTATGTAAGAAAAAATGCATAACGAAAAAAGCAAAAGAAGAACATTTAATGAAAAAATTACAGTACAACCAGGTTATTTGGAACCCAACTCAGCACAAATACTGACTTTCAAATGCATCCGACAGATTTGTAAATGATAAAATGAAACAAGTCAGGATAGTGCTCTATTAACTGTTGAGTGGTATTTAATTGCTTACTTTGGGTTTCTCTGCACTGAATTATTTAATTGGGAATACACTGTCTGCGCATGTGTGCATGTTGACAGAGCAAAGCAAGTACCGTACCCACAAGGGAATAATAAAACATGGCCCTGTCTGTATTTCTCTGCTCTAACTGCAGGTTCTCCTCAGGGGCATTGTCATCACCAGGTGTCAATTTACAGCTTTGTTATTTTAATCAGCTCTCATTTTAGCGCGCTGAAGCAAAACGGGGATAGGCAAATAACACCTGCCCCCCCCCACACACATCATCCCCAGAGCTGTTCTGCAGATTTGCACTTAAGGTCAGTCACATGATTTGTAGGCCACAAGGTCAGACAAGGGATTGAGACAGCAGATGGAGGCCCACAGCTATGAAACAATGAAATGCACGACTTACAGACTTGTATAATGTGCAGACTCATCTCAATCTACAAAAGACTCACAAATTCCGCATGTAGAAAGCAGATATTTCAGACCTTAAACTACACAGACTACAAAGACAAAGGATGTATTTAATACAAGATTTAACCATGTTTTTTTTTAAAGTTTACTGTACTTTCTTTTGAATATTTTTGTGCAGATACTTTATATGACAGTTTCTTTGTCTGAACTGCCTATTCGAGCATTAAATGCGTATCCGATACCTTGGTGTCCTTACAGTACAGTTTCGCTCTTGAAAATCTTTATGAAGCAAATAGTCCTCTTCCACACTCGTGTAAAAGAAAATTAATCAATCCATCAAAATCAAGTCAGAAAAGTTGTTCCTCATGCATTTTTAAATATATACATCTGTCAGATCCCTCAAGGTCTTGTTTTACTGTGTTTGTGCAGAGGTCACGTAAATGATAAAATGACTTGAATACCTGAGGGAAAATCGCTATTCGATATTCATTTGAAGAATTTTCTAAAAGTCAGTGACCAGGCCCAAGGCAAAGATTTTATTTTTCATATATACACACCACATTTTACTGATAGAATAACTCCAGGTTTCCTCCAGATGCTCCTGTTTATTTCCACAGTCAAAGGACATACCGGCAGGTTAATTGGCTTATGGGAAAATAGGCCCTGGCGTGTGTCTGTATGTAAGTCTGTCTGTCTGTCTTTGTGTGCCCTGCAATGGACTGGCATCACTGGAAGAAGTAGTTAGTAAATGGATGAATGGACAGAAAAAACAGCATTTCACATTGCCTATAGATCAAATCACGTTATGAAGAAGCAAACATTCTATACAGAAACTCCATAATGGAAATGTATTAAGGCTGAACTTTTTGTAAAACTACCTAACAGCTCCTGCAACAAAAATTATTATTTCCCATCCAAAGGTCTATGAAGAAAAACAAAAGTGGAGACAGACCGATAGCCCTAGATGATCAAGCCAAAATGGATTCTGAAATCCTACAAAAAAAGTTTCAAAGTCAAATGCGTAGAAGCAAAAGAGTTGTTTCTTTTTATTTTTTTGCTTAGCCAAATGAATTCAAGAACTAGAAGCAGAACTACATTTTAAGCTATATTATATTAATTATATGCAAGCAGGAAAACAACTCAATACTGTGGGGGGGGGCAGAGAGGCCAAAGAAATATTGTACACCGAAAAAAAGCTCACACCCCAGTGGTTTACTGACTGCGAATACGGTCATAATATTTCATTTTGCAATTTGTGTTATAGTCTAAGAAGCTATAAACAGTAACAATATATTGTTTCTGCCTGTGCATATACAGTGCCTTGCAAAATTATTCAGACTTATGTGAAATTACAAAATGATGCATCCACTTTATCTTAAACGTATCACTTGGAACAGCTGTTTGTCTGGTTGGTTTAAAACAAAAACCCTTTTATGATAATTTTCAATGACATCCAATGACTTGTCTGATTATGACCATGTGTCAAAAGAATACAAAGATTCCAACATAAATGATGAAATAGATCACTTCATCATTTAACACAACAGCAGGTTTATTAAGACAATGAGCTGCTCCCCATTATAAAAGGGCAACTTTAAATATTCTTCTGTCTGGACAACATCAAGTAAGCACTTTAACCCAATCATCACTCTCAAACTATAAACCCCGTAACTGATAGCTTCTTTCTGTTTGCAAGAGTGCTCCACTAAAGACCTCAACAAAGGTTTTTTTTATAGGATCTACAATAATTAGGTAAAAGATTTGATGTGGTCCTGGTTTTAGTTTTTCCAGAATATGTACTGGCAACCATCCAGAAGGAATAGTTATTGTCTTCTCCGTCGTTATAAGAAATGACTCATTTCTCCACCATGATGCTCTTTGACTAACCCCTCCACATTTCCAGCAATTGTCCACAAAATGTAAGACTCACTTGAGCAGACGGAGGCAAATGGAAATTTGGAATCTCAAAATGAGAGGTGTGTGTGTTGGAGGGCTCAGCTGGTGAAGAAATCTCACAAACCACAAGTGCTCACAGGAACACAGGTCATACCTATATACCTGATACACTTGCGGACTTTCAAAGCAGAAGCTCCAATATCAAAAGAAGAGGTTTACCTTTACTGAAGTCCTGCGGATCCAAAGACAGGCTGTATCCAGGCAGAGTCTCCAGAAGCAGTTTATAGCAGGCCTTCCAGCCTGGCTCAGGGATGGTGGGGGCCACACACTGCATAGCAGCCACACGCTTGAAAAATGCAGACTTGCGATGGAAACCAATTAAGCCGTACAGCTCGGACAAAATACTGTAACGCTGAATCTTCTCCTCTTCAGACAGCTAGAGTGAAAAGAAGACCATTATCTCGGTATTTGAATTCATACATGTTTTTTTTTTACAGCAATACGAATTCAGTTTTATATAAATGCTGTGTATAACGGTACACGTTACAAAACAGCAAAACTAAAAACAGAAGAATTCTAGAAATACAAAAGCTACCTTAGAAGATACCCCAGTAAGCCAAAACATCAAAATAGTTCAAGTAGGGAGCTGCGTCAGCATGTGTAGCCTGCAAAGCAACGAGTCGAGGTTTATCCCAGGCCGAAAAGAGAAGAAAGAAACACACCCGAAGACGGTTCCACAGCCGAAACGTTGTGTTTCTTTTTCTTCTTTTTTCAGCCTGGAATAAACCTCGACTTGTTGCATAACATTAAAGTAGTCTCATTTTGGATAAATCCAGGCATGTATCGATATTTCAGTCTGATATGAACATCAAATGGATCCAGTCGTGCAGGGGTTAGCATCTCTGCCTCGCGGTATGTTCACCCCATGATCGATCTGGTCTCCTCCGGGTGCCCTGGTTTCCTCCCACAACCCAAAGACATACTGGCTTCTGGGAAAATTGGCATTGTGAGTGTGTGCGTGTCTGTATTTGTGAGTGCCCAGCGACAGGCCATCTAGGGTGTACACCACCTAGTGCCCGTTGCTTGCCAAGAAAGGCTCTGGCTCTCCCATGACCCTGAATTATAGAAGGAGCAGTTAGAAAAATGGATAGATGAACATCAAATGAAAGGACAGGGTGCAAAGTAACACCAAGGTTTTCAGTTGCCATCCTTAGGTCCCATGTCGGTTTGAGCTGTGTGTGCTCAAGCACTCCTAACATTTGCGATCACATTGATAATAAATCTGGCTGCCATAGGACTGCAATTACCGAATATATTGAACTCGGCAGTCAATTTATCTGACTATTAATTATGAATCAGTTGACACGTCATTTTCCCAGTAGGCAATAATCAACTACACCAACCAATAACCAGAGTCTTTGTCAGTACTGGTGATAAACCGATGATCCACAGTCTTCAGGGTTGGGCGTTCCACCGATCTCTGGATGGTAAGGGGTGGTGACAAATACCTTTTATATACTATTGACACCTTACCGCAACTCGTACATATACCCTAAAAGCCAGCCAAATCTTCTTATACAGCTGCAGTAGCATTAAGTTTACCAATAATGTTCTACCACTAAAGGTTCTGAGAAACCAAGAGTCCTGACTGTTCACATTTTAAACTTTGATACTTTGATATATATATATATGATATGAGGTACCTACCTTGTCAGGGGAGTCATACAAAATCTGCATGAATGGACCCAACCATCTTTTTTCTACTGCATTATTTCGACTTGGATTAGAGAAATGCGATAAAATGACTAAACCAGAGCCCCACTAGTGACGTGTATACACACAAAAGATATCCAACTATACATGCATATTAAAAGGGAAGAGACTGTTTGAGTCGAGTGAAGGGGGTGAGGAGATATTCGTTATTTTGCTTTTATAAAGTGAAGAACAAGGACAGAATAACTAGTAGTAGAGGTTAAAATGAAGACAAAGGATTCACAGGTTGTACGAACAGCAAGCTGTGTCAGTACAACTACAGATACTGGGGATACTGAACATGCGTTTATGATGTACATATGAAAATACAAGTTTTTTTACAAATGAGTATGTGTACTTGTGGGATTGTTCTCTCTGCAAACACAGATTCCACTGTCTGGGTTTTGTAAGCACCCAGTCTCAACGAGGAACTCATACGCACAGTAACAAAGCAAAGCCTGAAATGTCAAGCAGCGGTTATGCTGCCTGCTTCGGTATTAACACAGACAAACAAATGTTCTCCCAAAAGAGCGGTTTCCTCCTAATTAAATTTGCACTATTATTAAAACATGTTCTGAACGGTTGCAATTGGACACCGAGTTTATGATTACAGTGAAACCACTTAACATTTCATTTTAGTGTAAATTGTTATATTCCCTGAGTTTTTAAAATTATTTTCCATTTTAAAGGGCATTTACAAATGAGACTGCCATTTGGGTCATCTAGCTTTTTTTGTTTTTTACTACTTAATTGATCCAAGGATCGCATCTCATCCCTGGGTAACGTGTTCCAGATCTCACAGCCCTTTATGATCTCAGTTTTACAGTGGCTATCAAAGGTCTTCACCCTCCTTGGACTTTGTATTTTATATTTTCATGTGTTACAATATGGAATCATAATGCATTAAACTGGGAGTTTTCAGTTCAATTCAAAATACTTTATTCACCCCCATGGGGGAATTAATTTCCTGCCACTGATTAACAGAAAACACGATAAAGTGAAAACAAAATTCTGCAGATCCTCCTTAATTAATTATAAACACACAATGGGAAAATAATGAATTGCAAAAGTTTTCACCAGCAGTATATAACCAAATTTACTCTGAAACTTTCTTTGTCTTCATGATGTAATTCTTGCTGGAAGGGTTACAAATCAAATAATTGACTTCCCAGCGATAGGTGTATGTATCCTAAACCTATACTTTGATACACCCTATTTGCACACAGCGGGATTCCATTCAAATAATTATGGGACTACTAAAGACATTGGTTGCACCAGAGCCTATTTAGGTGTGTCTTAGTAAAGGGGGGGGAAACTTACAGGTATGCAATCACTTTTGTGTTTTATATTTATAATTAATTAAGGGGAATCTGTAGAATTTTGTTTTCACTTTGACATTGTTTTGTGTCAATCAATGGCAAAAAAAATAAATACATTGTGATTCTGTAAAAGCCCAAGGGGGGCGAATACTTTTGATAGCCACTGTAAATGTATTTTCCCTGTAAGTTCCACTGTGGTCTTTGGCTCATGTGTCACTGTTCTTTCTGAAGAAGTCCAGTAACTTAATTTGGCCATAATGATATTGTAGTTTCTGAATAACTGAAGCACCAGTCTTTGCCATTTGCTAAAGACTAAACGTTTAGGTCTACTCATAATGAAAACATTTTTCCCATGTTGTTTACAGATGCTAATTACATACAAGTTATCATTCTACCTTAATCTGCAAAGTACAGTTATCTTTGATCATTGAGGAGCTGACCTGACGCATTTCTGTTCTAGGGGTGATTTATTCCACAAATTTGGGTTTAACAGTACTTTTATACTGCTTTCTCTTCATCCACATTTTCCTCATTAAAATTACAGTTCTCATGCTATGTATACTGACAGGTTTTTCTTGGCTGTCAAGCTATCTGATGTGTTGCTACATCTTTCTAAAAGTGTGCTCTTTATATAGAAACCTCCGGGTTTGGAATTCAAAATTCATTACACAAGTTCCTATCCCACTCATTTCCTTTCCAATGAAAAAATGCTAATATTTGCATTTTTATGGTAGGATAACTGGCAAATTAGACTAATAATCTCTATGTAGAAGATGGATAAATTAGGCCAACAATCATTTTAACTCCTGTAGATCTTCTAAAGCGTGCATGTGCAATATGTTCATGGAGGACACCAAGAGAAACTTCAAACCCAAGATCTTAAGGTCATGCAGTAAGATTGCTTCAATGTTAGTCCTTAAATCACTATGAAATGTAAATCTCCTAGATTTTCTTACTTTTTTCTACTTAATTAGTCCTTGAGGCGAAATTAGACTATGATCCATTCCAGACAGTCTCAGTGATTACTGTAGACCACTATAGCTACAGAAAGCATCAACGATTAATCAACAGCCAAAATCTCAGGCACTTTCTTAGCTGGAACAGCTGGAAGTGTTAGAATGGTGGCAATCCTATCCATCTGAAGTCAAAGATAGAATCTTAACTGAGAAGCAAAATCTTGAATACAAAAAATACCTTTTAAAATGTCTGTATTACATGTTTCTGTCATATCAGTTTACATGCATTTCACCTGACAATATTTGTGGAAGTAGAACCTACCCTCCTCTTTTACTGCAATAATTTAAAATTATATTTCTGAAAAATATTTTACCGAAATGAGACTGGATCCACATATATATCTATATCCAAGTCCTTTTCTTGGGGGGGACAAAAGTACATAAAGCATGCAGCACAACGAAAAGGCTCATTAAAGTAATGCGGACTTACCAGACTTACTAACCCTAACCTACCAGAATCAATCTTTCTTTTATGATGTAAGCAAGCTCCGAAGTTCCGTAGAGGAGATGTAATCTCTCACTGGCATCATTGCAAGCGTCACTGCTTCACCAAATGACAGATCCTGGCCTACTTACATCCACCCTGCACTGACAGCAACTCTGCCTATTAAGGAAGACCAGGTCACTGCTGGCATAATGACATGTCTCATGCTCAAAACAGATGCCTGCATTCTGAGCGAGCACCTTCATTGTTTGAGCCACTCGGAAAGCCACAACATAACCTTCACCTAGGTTACATAACGTTTTAACTTCATGTTTAGTTTTTGAATATGAGACCTGGTTATATCAAAGATGTTGCCGTTTCATCTCAACACCTTGGTGCCACCTTTGACGGCATGCACTTACGCATTTCGTTGTCTGAAAACCTTTGAAGAAAAGGTTTGGTCCTCATGGAGCCTATCCTGGCTAGCAATGGGCACAAGGCAGGATACACTCTGGATGGGACGTCAGCCCATCAGTCCATCGCAGGGCACATACAGAACCCCACTCACACCCGGGGCTAATTTTTCCAGAAGCCAATTAACCCACTGGCATGACTTTCAACTGCATGAGGAAACGGGAGCACCCAGAGGACACCCATGCCAATGCCAGAACTGAACCCAGGGCCTCAGCGTTACAAACCAGTGTGCCTCCCTTCTGCCTTTACAACCAACATCTTGCAAAAAATTCAGTTCACATTTCTGGCTAAAACACAAAAGTGCTAAACCTGGCATGAACTAAATGAAGACCAGGAATTGAATGTTCTGTTATTGTTATAGCATGGAATCGTTCTTGACTTCAACCAGTATTTACCTCTCCAGCACACACATGGCCATACAGAATCAAGTAAAGCCATTTATTAAACCAATCATTAAACCAACCGTATGCCACTCATTTAATTAGTACAACATGCATAAATGTGTAGATCGATACGGCAATTCACCAATTTTATTCAATATTACAACAGTGTGGTAATGAGGCATATGTAACGTGTCAACAAGTTTTGCTTCAAATGAAGAGATGAAAGATACTGAAATCAGAAAATTTGTACAGTCAAAATTAAACAGAAGTAGCCTATACAGTATTTAGTATGGTAATAGTGTACAGTGGGGAAAAAAGGCAGTTACAAGTAATGTACAAGTAACCATTTTTACTAAATTACACTTATTTTCCTCAATTATATTCAAAGTATACTGTGTGTTATTACTTGCTGTTAAATAGAATCATGTGTTGCAATACTCATTCTTTCATGGGATTGTCCTTGCTGTGTGACAAATATTGTTTAGCCTTTAACATTAAGTTAAGAAATATTTTTTCAGCTTGATTCCAAACCTCTTCTTTTTTTTCTACTTCAGATTTCAATTAGTCATTAAAGCACAGAACATAATTTAACTGTCTTAAAGGCACACTTGTTTTGGGCTGAACATCCTCCATCACTGCCTTGAAACAACAGAGATAGTTGAATGAAATGACTTCTAATTTTTTTAATTGATCTGGGTTGACAGACTTTTCAACATCTGCATTGAATCTTTGAATACAAGGTCTACCACTTGTATATTATAATATAATAATATTATATAATAATATATTAATATATTTGTAACAGTATTCTCTAGCAGAAAACCAGTTGTCCCATTGTGTTGTGTATAGTAACAGCTATTGCTCCTAGAAAAGTAAACTACCTATGAATATGCATTATACGAGCTAAATATTATAAGAACAGTTCACTAAGTTAATCACAATTTTCAATACTGTGTAACCAGTTAAAAGCATACTTGAAATATAAATACAGTCCACTTAAAATATTTCAGAGATATTCTGAAACTGAAACCACAAATGCATTAACTTAATTAGATTAGGAAACTGATCAGAATCAAGAGTCCTGTTCCCTTTTCCCAGCAACAAATTTACCAGGGGCTATTTTTAATCAGTCTCTCAACAGGGGGAGCCCAGCAAAATTGAACAAAATGGGGAAGGCAAATGGATGCTTTAAGAAGCTGCAGGTTAGGTGCCAGTGAAACACAGGAGCAGAGGGGAGTCTAGAGCAAAGCGTGTTTCCACTGAGGAACACTCCTACACAGAAATCCAAAAATAACCCAGCACAAACTCTTGACACCACACCAACTGGCACTGTTTCAGCACCTTTTCTGAATTAACACACAGAAGCCCAGAGACCTCCTCTGATCAACAAACCACGCAGGTCTCCATCAGAAGTCCCAAAGCACACGCATAAAGAAATATACAAAACTTAAAGCATTGGGAAATAAGTCAGTTAGGGTCTTCCCTGCTTTCGGAATTCGGTATCGTTTTAATGATTCTCGAGGAAACTGCATTTCTTCCATCGTTTTTGGAAACAGCTCAGAGAGTGTGATTTAAGTGACAATCACAGGATATACTGACTCTCTGCATCTGGCGAGAGAAGATTACCTGGCCGAGGTTGATGTAGACTGCATTCTGAAGGAATTCTGATGCCTCCATGGCTCTCTTCTGGATCGCCAGGACTCTGACTGCCTTCACACACGCCTCCAGTTCAATCACACCGGCATTCTTATACTATAAAAGAAAGTGCACAGCCTTAGGCAAATTCAGCACTCTTGAGTGCACAACGGAAATAGCAATTTGTTACGGTGTTCAGCAAAAAAATAAATAAAGGTTTTTAAGAAGCTGAGTAACCGAAGACAGTTTTTAAAAGTGTAACTTTGCAGCAAAAAAAAAAACTAAACTCAAAGAACCACCAGCAAAACGATCACAAAAAATAAATTATGCAAGCAGGATTAATCAGGCCTGTGATGGCAATGTTAAGTATTTTGCAGAGCATTATAGTCTCTATTCAAACCTTTAAATCATTTGGCAAAAGGTACAAAATTAAATGTAATACAAACCATTTGCTAATTATGATATGACCAAAGTAAATAATAACTTATTGATTACACTAAAAAAAGTGGAATCAGGAAGATAAAAAAACACCGACATTTTTACCAAGACACAGGAAATTCTTGTGAATACAGAATTATTTTTTGGGGCAATAAAAGGAAACTCAAATTTGACGGTGGACATTCATTACAATTTACTAGCATTCCTGAGGTCAGACTGTAAAGTTGACATCAGACATGGATGAAAAGATGCACAGGTCCAAAGTCAAGAAGATGAGGCTATCAACAGCACTGCTGAAGTGGTTCTTTATTTTTCCTCAGAGAGAATCAAGTCATTGCGAATACTATTGCTCAGAACTCCACAAACTGAACTTCTTCCCAGAAAACACCCAGCGAAAGAAAAAATAAACTGTCAAGTGCAGGAGCTTGATACGTTTCAGGTACTTCAATTGCTTGCTGTAGAAATCGCCAAAGATGATCATTTTCACCCACATCCAAATGAGGCCGTACAAGAAGCAAAAGTTTTAGTGCTTGGTGCGAATTTCACAAGTGTTAAAAATTCTGTTGTTATGGCAATGTCTGTGCTCTCAGTTGAAGGGCTTGTTATCGAACAACAGTGGATAAAATACACAAGCTATTTCACTTAATTGCTGCCAACTGGGGACAAGTTTATCTCAAGGGCTGAAGGATTGTGGCTTTAGGATACCAATCAGAAAACAATTGTTATTTGTAATTACAGGAAATTCTGTATCGCACATAATTAGAGTGTGTTTTCATTTCTTATGTTCCCCTGGGGATCGGCAATTATTTAGGAATATGGCAGATACGTCTCAGCATATTTCAGTACTGAAAACATATACCACTGCCTAATTGGAAAAATCATGAGCAGTCTCTTGCGTTTATTTAGTTGGTTTGTAAATGCAGCATGCTGTTCACATTCAGCTTGGATCTGCATCCTTAAGGAACAGTTATCCTCTTACTGTGAAACTCAGCTACTGAACAGATGTAGGAGGACAAGCCTTCTTCCCTAATTTTATTACTGGAAAAAACACAAATTTGGTTGTAACAATTCATGTATTAAAGCTTTGCTGACTGCATTTTCTAAAATATTTCTACTTCTAGAAACACATACAAAGCAAACAGTGGGACTTGGTTGGTGTGGAGGCATAAGACACAGACATATATTACTCTAACACTATGTGAATCCCTTAATTTTTCCAACACAAATAGAGTACTATAGAGTATATTATGGTTTTGTGTACAATACAAAATGTGACTGCTCCAGCTTCATTCAAAGAATTTCAAACTGGTGTCCTGGGATCCTATGAAATGGAGTTTAAAAAGTTTCATGGCACAATTATCCAAAAACTACAGTCAAATGTCTTGCTCTTGTTTTTAACCTCTTAAATTCTTCTGTTAGAAGCAATAACACATTTCTCAAAGGATTAAAAAACTAATGATGTATGCTTCACATTTGTCAAATGTGTAGGCATCAAAGCTAAATTTATTAAAGGGAAAAAACATGAATAGATGCAGCAACTTTTCATCATTACTAATTAGCGAATTTGATTTTGTTACTTCTAAAATCCTAGTCATCTTTCATCTTTTAAATAGAGAAAGCCTGATAGCAGGCTGCAAGGACAGAACAAAAGTAATAATGTGAATTAAAGAGGAAAACATGACTGCAAAGATTAAAAGCACGATTACAATGAGTCATTGCAAGCTTTTGCCAACTAATTATTATTATTAATTGAATGTTTATCCCAAGTGATCTACACAGCTAAACCTATTTTTACATACAGATCTTAGTATTTATATTTATACAGCTGGTTTTGCTAGAGAAATATTGCAAAATACATTGCACAGGGGTACAGCCGAGTCACCAGCTGTGAACTGAACCCACGACACCGGTTAGGAGTCCAGAAAGTTAACTACTGCTCCTCATTGCAGACCTGTTTTAGTATTTATAATAGTAATAATTGCTTACACTTCTGAACACTCCACTCAAAGCGCTTTAGAGGTAATGGGGACTCCCCTCCACCACCACCAATGTGCAGCCCCCACCTGGATGATGTGACGGCAGCTATAGTGCACCATTACACTCCCCACACATGCCAGCTATCAGTGGGAAGGAGAACAGAATAACAAAGCCAATTCATAGATGGGGATTATTATGATTGGTAAGGACAAATGGTAAATTCAGCCAGGACACCAGGGTTAGACATCTCCGTCATTATACTGGGACTTTAAGACCCACACGGACCGCAGGGTGAGCACCCCCTGCTGGCCCCACTAACACCTTTTCCAGCAACAACCTTAGTTTTTCCCGGGGGTTTTCCCTTCCGGTTCTTGCCCGGGTTCCCCCTTGTTGGGTTTCGTTGGTTTGCGGTTTTTGATTTGCGGGTTGCGTTGGTTGTTGGGTGGTTTTGGTTTTGGGTTTTCCTCGGGGCCCCGCTTTTGGCGGGGACCTTTGGGTGGGGATTGGGCATTTTTACTTTTGCTTTTTTTTTTTCCTTTTTTCCCCTTTTTCCTTTTGTTTTTGTTCCCGTTTTTTTATTGCGGTTTTTATTTTTTTTTTTTTCAGGGAAAGGGGGGATTAAAATCAATGAGTTGTGAGTTGCAGGGCGATATGGTGGCTGGCTAAGGCCCTATCCCTCAATATAACTGGGCTCAAATATTGGAGATAGTCAGAAACTTTTAAAATGAAACACTTGCTGATGAGATTGAAGAAAAGATTAAACTCCCATGGCTGATTACAAATAAAGGTGTATATATTTTGCAAAATCTATACTGTTAAGATGGAACAAAGAAGGACTCTTCAGGCAGGAGGCTTTAAAGAGGACTCCTAGAAGTAGGAAAAAAAGTGCCGAAGTGAAGATGATGAACTAGTCCATTTTCTTTGGTTTCTGCAGGAACACCAACAGGGAGTCTACGTCTTACTGCGAACAGGGGTATTGATATTTAACAAGCACTCAACAGATCAATCCATTTCTCAAGCAAGGACAGGCTGGCTGTGATGCTCTCAGCAGAGGGATGCCATTAACTGGGTTTATGAGGGAAAGTTAGGAGGCACTGTTCTTTTCTTGCAGATGAAAAATGAGTCATAATTAAAAGTTTTTGGATGTATTTACAGCAGCTTACAGCTTGAATCTTCCAACTGGTACAAATGTCATGAGTTTTAGTTGAAAAGGAGCAAGCCTATTAATGCATTTATTTTTTTTGCACTGCACAGACTACTGTGGTAAAACACAACATTTTAATCCGAGGTATATTAAACTTGCTAATATTAACCTTAACAGTTAACTTAAACGCAAGGGCATGGCAATTTAAAATGTTCTTCACCTTTTAAGACTAATAGCGCTGCAGCAATCGCAAATTAACGAAGACTTGCAAATTAAGAACTTCAGAAATGATGAGAACTAGATGCCCCTACTGTGACCAGAACGCTAAAGAGAGAGTTTTCATTTTAAATACAGAAGCTCCTCATCCTCTAGTCAGACTGAGAAAGCAATTAGCATGACTATGTAGGCTTGAACTAGGCATTTGCGCACAGCAAAAACATCAGAAAGGAGTGTCTAACCTGTCAAAGATACTCAAAAAAGTCAAGAAAACCCTCCAACACTGGTTTTATCTTGCTGTTGTTTTCTTACAAGAAAACAACCTACACAGTAGCACTGAGTTATACAAAATACTGTTGCTCACAGATGTTATTAAAACTAAAAAGATCACAGATAGAAGTGATGCTAGTCATCTATTATGGGCCAGCTGCCTCACTATACAGCAGATCATATAGTCGGTTGAAATGACAATTGATTTAAGTAGGAAACTAAGGTATGCCAGTGGAATGAGGACACTACGGATAACTCCTGCCTTATGAATAGTGCCATGAGATCTTTAACGGACACGCAGTCCTAGTGCCAGTTTAACGTCTCAGCCAGAGGATTGCAACTCCTACAACACCACCTACTGGTCCAACACCACCACATACAGCAGCCACCTGGTTCTCCTCAGAGGTCTCCCATCCCTGGACTGCCAGGCCCAGCCTTGCTTATCCTCTAACATCTACATCGACGGTAATAACTGGGATTGTGGGCGGTGTAAATAATTCAGAAGCACAGATTATGTTATAATGGAAAACAGTCTCCCAGTTATGAATCCCAACAACCACATTAGAACAGGGCAGCCCTGTAAATGCAAAAAAGCTTTGGCCTTAATTTCAGATCCCAATACTTGTGCTGATTTTACAATAAAGACTGTAAAATTAAACTCGCTTCGAGGTAAGAGGAAAACTGAGCTTCTGAAGAGATCAAGATCCATATTATTCTGTTTAGATCCAACCGAAATGCTTAATCAACTTATCACAATCAATAGCATTGCCAGACAAGGCCTGAAACACAAAAAATTGTATTCCTAATTAAATCCAATCACTATCTAAATTGGCCCTTGTATCAGGGGTGTAATTTGATATGGCATGAACTAGTTAGAGGTGAAAGAGGCAGCATGAGAGCTGCATGTAAAGAAGGCAATTAATGTTCTACAGTTTTTTCCATCATGGCGAGAGACTGAAGTAGATGTCTTCTCATTGTTCAACATTTCGTTTCAGCTTTTAACTATATCAATCATATACGAGGCACAGCAATCTGTCGGAGTGCAACCGTGCACTGTTATAAACAACAACATGCATATCTACACCACTTTTTCCCCATGATTGACCAGAAAAAAAGGGCACAAACCTTTTTTCTGCCTTTTGAGGACTCTTCTTTTGATCCTAAATGAAGGGCCAAATAAATCAGGGAAACATGGCGTGGATCCTTTTTTTGACTATTTATTAGCTTTAGAAACTTGTAGGAAGCCAAGACTGTTCTGGTCTCCTAGTAGTGAATAAATCAGCACAGACAAGTGAAAAGTAAAATGCTCAAAGTACTGCTAAATAAAGTCTGAAGTGGCTCAAACTGCTGGAAATGTAAGTCTGCCCTGTCTGTGAGTTTATGACCTAAAGGAAAGAGAGCCCTCTGGTGAGCTATGAGCACCAATCATCTCCAACACCTGTGGACTATTATCGGAGCACAGCTCTGAGCAATGCTTAGGCTCTTAAAGCTGTTTCTAATCCGGCATAGAAGGGCAGGGCTGTGTCTCTAATTTCTTCTTTTTTATCCTTACAAAGTAGACAAGTTTATAAAGTGACTATTTTTTGGAATGTTTATTTATAGCACAAAGAAAAAAAAACACTGTGACTAAATGTTCAGACATTACCTGTAGCCTGTTCTTAGAAAATAACTGGGAAGGGGAAAAGCTGATCTTATCATCTCTGCACCCCAATTTTAAAGACAACACCTTCTACCTCAGACTCCGAGTCCCCAGTTATCTCCTATCATTAATAATGGTTTTATTTATGTACCTAATATAACAGTGCACATTTACTGTAGATAATAAATAAAATAAAAGTCTTATCTTGCACCATTTGTCTAAGTCAACTTCAGAGTTGTACACAGAAACCCATGGGAGATCAATTCTGATTACAAAGCTATTAAATGCTTGCTTTTTTAATAAAAATGGATAAACATCCCTTTGAAGGCTCTTAAGGCAATGAACAGGAGCAGAATATAATGAAAGGAAAGTAGGGGTTATGAAATGCATTTTAACCTTCAACAACGACCTGAATCCAGAAGTAACACTGGTTCACTCCCCAAAGAAAAATATTCGTTTCATTCTTAGTCACCCAATCGAACCAAAGCTTTTCATAGATGTAGTATAATATTCTTGTAATAGTGCAAATAATATATGCACGATTACAGTGTGCTTTTCAAGTACGCTACCAAGCCTTAAGTAATTTATCCCTTTCTAAAAACAATCTTGCACTGGTTCCTACACTGAAGGACCCGCAGTGTGATCCTTTCATTTTTCCCCATTTATACCAAGGTGTATAAAGGCTCAGTACCTTGCCATAGTAAGAGATGGCCTCCTTGTATTTGTCGATGATGTCTTCTGGGCTCAGGCAGTTCTTGGCTCGTCCAATCTCACTGCTGGTGTCGGCACTGATGCCATTGGTGGTCAGGGCACCTGGACTTGCACAAAGCGAGAATGAAATTAATCCCCGCAGACTCCTGTAGAAAACCACGCCGAGTTCCCCCTGCCATCCTCTTTTCAGGATTTAGGATTTAGGAAAAAAAAAGGAATAAATCACAAACCACTTACATGGGAAGAGCCCATGTAAGATCATTTTGACAGAAAAGGCCTTAGACATGCATCTTGAAGATTGCATGCACACAATACAATTAGGCAAGACTACAAGCAGTCAACAAATGTGTGAAACAATTCAACACTTAAATCACCACAAAGGTTTCAAATGTCATGTGTTACTGCAAATGTAAAAGAAATATTTTACATATGTAGCCATGTTCACACAAGGACATTTACTGTCATGCAAGGAATCACCTGGACAGAAAGAGGTCTTAAATAGAAATAAAAAATGCAAACATGCGTGCATTCATGCCTTTCATCTTACCCAACAGGAGAAAAAATATCACTTACAGTAAACATTTAGCATTTGTTGCAAAAGCATTTAAAGAAAAACACCAAACTCTTATTTTTCAAGTAGACTTTTCAGCGAATAACAGTTTGGTCCTTTGCATATGTAAAACACGATAAAAAAAATCCTGCAATAAATAAAACCTGCTCTGTCTGATTAATCTCAAAAAGAAAGCCTAGAAGAAGAAGGAACCAACATTTTTTATCTTTCTTTTGCTGATATGGACTGATCAGAATACTTAAAAAAAACTATGAATCAAAGTATCAAATCTTGAGAAAGAACATCAAAGATTCTGCTACTTCAGAGAGATGGTAACAAAATAAACAACAAAAATAGCCACATACAATTCTTAATGAATTATTGTGGACTTGATAAATGAGGATCCTCTGGGAAACGTATATACCTGAAAGCTTTGCACAAGTATATGATTAAAAATTTAAATGCAAGAGTGAAATAATTTTAAAATAATGGAAACATTTTGTAAAACCCATCTGCGACGTCGGAAAACATAATTTTTTAGATCATTCTGAATCCTACAAATCCAATAACCACTGCTTCTATCCCAAAACATGTGCATTCACGATTAACATACTAAAGTATTGATTTTCCAAAGGTAATAATCCAGCCTTGGCACCAAACAAAAAAAAAAAGCTTAGCTAAGCTTTTGGGATTCACTGGCTGTTTTAATAATGGGACTGCCCTTAAATACCTATTGATTTCTTCCTCAGAATTTTAACAGGATCAAAAAAGTAGTACTTCAAACTGTATCAATATGTCTCAATGAATGATTACAATCTATAACGAGCTGACAGGAGAGCTATCATAGAGCGAGATGCACTATCCATTACCTAGAAAGTTGAAGAACGATCCCTGTCAACCAAGCTAAACTTTTTTGTTGTTGTGTGCTATAATACATGAACAACTTTATTTACCATTGGTTGGGCCTCTAAACCTTAAAGTGTTAGAAAAAAGGTTCCCAATCTTAGTAACAAATCATATATCCAATGACAGATCATCTATTCTTAAATTACCTTAAATTCTTTCTAAGTTCCTTTACCACCTTTTCTTTGCTATTGAGCCCATAACGCCAGTTTCATTCAAAAAACACTACAGAGATAAAATCAATTCACAGGGGATTCAATATTCTTTTCTTAAATAAAGGTTTAATAGAGCAAAAGCTTTGTATTAATTTCCAAATCTAGGTATTGCCCGGTAGTATATCACTCACAAACTGATAAACTAACAGAACAAATGAACTCACCTACCATGAAAACCCACCCTCAACAGAAGGAAACTTGGAATACGTGAACACAATATTTCCCCAATTTCCTCATTTGCTTATTCAGTGCAAGCTAAGATTCTTTTCTCCTGCCTCCTCGTATTTAAAAAAAAAAACCACCTACTTCATTTTAGAACTACGTAAAAACCAGCAAATTAAAAGATTGAATCGGTTTAGGGACAGCTGCAGAACAAACTAAGCCTGAGTAAACAATAATTCAGACTGCATTGCCCTATCATGCAATGTACTGTATTCTACCACAGTTAAGCACAAATGCTTAAGTTGAGATAGCAGAACAAAACAACGGGGCTTAACAGAAGATATAAAAGAACCACAGATTTCCAAACACTCCACAGTATAACAATGTGGGTATACCGATTGCCCCCATATAACTATAAATACAGAATCCAAAGCAGGGCTGCAGCAGTCATTAGCTCAGGCCGGTTACGATCACTGACAGCACTGTTTTAAAACTTACTCCATGGAGGAAAATGATATACACTGGCATACTGTGTGCTTTCCCATGATGAGTGCCAAGTTACATCTTTAGTTTACTCATTATCAAACTGCTTCGTGCAAATATACTTGCAGTCATAAGATACCTTTTTCAGACACAGCAGCTCTTGAAGTCATCCATTTAGTCATGCTGTACTGTCCCCTTATTTCATTTACAACACTGCCATCCTCAGTTCTCTTTGTGTAATAATCACAAGTCATACTGGAAACAAATGGTTGCTGTACTGTTTGGGTAATAAACTTAAAAAAAAAAGGTTTTATATAAATCAGGTATATTTTGTACATCTGGCATAAATCCGAAAACATATTTTCTACAGATTCAGAAATAACGTTTCTGGGGCTTGTGTACAAAGTTATTAGGAGAGTAGAATAAACAAAATAAAAAAAGCATAACAAAATTCCTGGAAAGAGAAGAATATATACGCTAGAAGTCTACACATTATCAGGTTACAAAAAATGTAACAAAAGTTGAACGTAACATGCAAGACTCACAGAAGTACAGAATCGGAAACCAGAGATTAATATGCACTATACTCATGGGCTAAAACAAGCTTTACTCATACAGTTAGTAACTAGGAAGACAGACTAGATTGTAAGGAGCACATCACTATACGCACATCAAGAAACAAGCAAAGACAGGCAACTAAAGCAGCAATTTGATGGTACTATACCTGGATCAATGAGAACTTCCTGAGCTCCTACAGAGAGAAAGAATGCAGTTTCACTCATTGGCACAAAGTGCAGTTAATTCAGGCATATTGATCATTAATCCAATTATTTTAAAGATGGAGAATATCAAAAACAATCTTAGTCAAGTCAAAAGCTAATTATCCTTTTTAGAAGAAACTGCTTTCTCCTGTTAAAGATGGACTATATCACACCAACAAATAACGTGAATAAAATTGCTATTCCTTCTAGCATGCTGTGTACGTTTCATTTCCAATCTATTAATTGGAAACAAAAGGATTGATTTCTTTATAGTATACCTCAAAAATAGAAACGTGACGTTCTGTCTTAGATGCTTTTATCATATTTTAACCTGGATTGCACTTGTGCTGCCTGCTATGTACCTTCAAGAGATGATTAAAATGCACCAAAAATAGAGATCGAAACTTACTGTACCAAAGGCCAACTACAAAAATCACATCAAACTGTCTCTATATATTGAAATTAAATTTCAAATGTTCAAAAAGCCCCAAATAGACAACCACGTCTGCAAAGGTTACTGGAATATAAACTACTCTATAGACATGTTCTCATCCTACTAAGAATCTAAAGAAAGTTAATACTCGATGCAGGCCATGTATTGTTTTACAAAAATTAAATAGATTTAAGGTTTTTGACATCATTTTACTTAGGATTCGTGATTGACAGTGATACACTTGAGTGACTTGCACAAACACTAAATCATATTATTCGCGAGGGAGTTATTGGATTTAGATAAGGAGATTTAACCTGATGAATGTCAGGCCTGCTGAAAACAAAGAAAGAAGATGTTTTATGATGGAGCAACACCTCAGATGGGCTTGCTAGCGGTGGAGCCAAGTTCTCCTTAGTAATAAATCAAGGTTTTGCAAAGACCAGCCTGACAGGCGTTAGGGAGTCTGGCAAAGACATGCAGAAAGATTCACTCATTGTGTGTAAAGATCAGTCAATGGGAAGAGCCAAGCATGGCGGTCTGGACAGAAGCGTCTAGTCAAAGACTCTACTTCTCATATTGTCGAGTATTGAGACCTCCTGTGCTTTACCTATTGACCGCTAATCCTGACGCAACCACATTCCAGCAGGACAACGCATGACCTCAAGCTGCTCACTGCGTTACAAATACAGTGGTGTGAAAAAGTGTTTTCAGTTTGTCACACTGAAATGTTTCAGATCATCAAACAAATTGAAATATTAGACAAAGATAACACAAGTTAACAAAAAATGCAGTTTTTAAATGAAGGTTTTTATTATTAAGGGAAAAAAATCCAAACCTACATGGCCCTGAAATCAGGAAGGGGGCAAACACTTTTTCACACCACTGTATGCCATGAATGTCCTTCTCAACAGTTAACATTTGTGAGATGAGCAGCGATAATGTGTGGCATTTTGGTTTCAGAGACCAGTAAATAGGCACATATCTGTCCCTCATCAGTGAGCAGATAGACTTCAGTGAGCCTGACAGAGTGTGCACCAGAGTCACATTTGCACAGCTTGTATTGCTTTCAAAAGTGGCCACACACTCTTCTGCCCAGTGACTCTCATAGCAGACCCCTTGTATACCAGCCTTGTCAATGACAAAACTTAATCAGCATAATGAATTTCACCATATCATTTCTGTTTCATATGGCAGTGCACCTGCTACAGAAAACTGTAATGTTCCATATGTTTGAGAATCTGTGCAGTTGTAAGGGATACGTTTCTTTTAATGCTCAATATGCATACTTTTTTAACAAGGTGCAACTTACAACACTCCTTTTGTCATAGCTGACCAGAAACTATGCTTGCATTAATAGCATTGTAATGAACTATTATACCATTGCCACAACAAAGGACATCTTCTGTTCTAACACAAGGCGACAATCAGATACCCATTAGGAAGAAGAACCTGTAGTTACTCATATATTAGATACCATATACTAAACAGCTCGATTTTCCAGATTGTGATATTGCTCATGTCCTTAGTCTGGAAAGTGCCTTACTGGAAACAAAGCTGAATGAGAGGAGCTTCTGATTTTGGATATTTTTCCAAAGAAGGGAACATTATTATATTTAAGAGCATCATAAACGCCTCAATGTGAATGATGTTAATGTAAATATGGTATATTTCTAGCAATAGAATGACGTTAATTCAATAACACACAGAAACATTGATATTATTCTGACAGTTTTGTCTTGTGAGAGGGGGGAATTCTAAGTGATGACCAGTAACCTTAGCAAAGGCAAAGCAAAACTGGCAAAGACAACAGTATAACCAGCACAGACATTTAAACCATACATCAGACATCTTCTCTGGGTTGGAAATCATTAAAAATATACTGCAAAAATGTCCATTTTCAAGTTATATACCATTGAGTGTGATTTGACAAGTATCGTACAACTTATCAGTTCTACAGTTGTTCATTCAGGTAGTTTAGTTGCAAAGTAAAATCAGAAGTAAAAGGTTTAACAAGACGAGACAGTTAACATTTAAATCAACTCTTTTTTTGTTCCAGGACACAACATAATAATTTGAACTAGACACAAAGCGTTTGTAACATCTTTGAAGCTGTGCAAATATACACTCATTAAATATATTACAAGTTGAAAAGACATACAAAAGTGGGTTAAAAAGACTGCGCCTATTTTCAGAAGTATGAATTCTTCAGAAGACCGTAAAATCTCATTTTAGAAACCCATTACTTTTTAAGCTAATATGCAGCTTTCTCCATAATCCATTACTTGCATATTCAAGTGTTAAATTTGTACCTTTTCATAAAGCTATTATTCAGATCTTTATCCATGACCATGATGTATCTTAAGGAAAAACAACTGATTTTTTTACGACTGCCGCAACCCCTGATCGGGAAAAAGCAGGAAAGGAAAAATGGATGGATGAATTTTATTATAGCTCCTGAAGGTGGCAGTGTTGGCTGGTATTTATTTACACCATGAGGCCGATGTTCAAGGATTCTGTAACCCTGGGGCGGACTCGTCATTCAATCCCATTATCGTGTACAGCAGTTAAAGTGTTTATCCAAAAACAAAGCGAACACAAACACACACAAAAAGACCCATAATTATGTGCACTCAAATATCATTAAACATAAAAATTCAGAGGTAAATAACTTACACTCCACTTATTTTCAGAACAAATATACTTCAGAAGACAATATCTTGTACATAATTACTTAAGATGGTCAAAGATTTGAAACAGCTATGAAACTCACAATACTATATACACTATTAAGTCTCATTTTAGAAAATATTTTGTTAAGCTAAAATGCATCTTTTACCATAAGTGCATTTTTAAGTGTTAAATTAACCACACATATAATTCTTTAGGAGATGTGCTTCTGATAGTTTAAGATCTATATCCCACAAGACCATTTGGAAACATACTGTTAATGTTATAAACATGTTGTGGATTATTTCATTTATATTATCAAATCTTTACCTAAGATTGGATGAGAATTTTGTTTAACAACCAGTTAACCAGTTAATTGTTGTTGCATTTTTGTGGACATTTGGGAATCTAGCAACTAATTATCTTTACAACAACAGCTAAATATTATATTTTACCTCTCTTTGCTACATCCTTTCCGCAATTTAAAAAAACAACTGTGCACTTTTAGTGCATTTTTAGATACACTTAACCTTTTAAGCACATCACTTAAATCTATTACATGAGGTGCCAATTGACTGTTTTGATTTCTGCATTTTTTAATAAAACAATTAATTGAGATGGTAAGTCCCTGATCTCAACAATTATTACTTGTTTTCTAATATGGGACAACAATCATTCTTGCCTAAAACTGTCTGGGCTGGGCCAGGTCAGTACTGGAATGGTAGACCCCCAAGGAAAACCAGTTCCCTGTGGTAATTAATGCTCAAATAAATGGCTTTTCTTTTTTCCTCCTCTGGACGAAATTTTTAAAATTTCTCCCCTTTCTCCTCCTTTTCTTTTTCTTCTCTGGGCAATATTGTTAAAAACCCCAAATCCCTGTGTGGCAAAGTTGGATACTTTGCTGTAGGAATTACATTATTACATCCTCGGAAAGTTAAACAGAGTAAACCAGTGTCCTGAGTCCCATGGTATTATTGGTAAGGGAAGACCGATTAGCCCTGGTGTTCTGGCTGAATGCCATTTAAAACTTGCTCAGTCTGAACTACCTCATCTTCCCTCTTACGTCAACGTGTGGTGCAGCTTCTCACTCTCCTGTGCAGTGGGGCTCCTTGGCTGGTGTTGGTCACCTAGGCATGTGTGACACCTCTAGGGTGAGGTCACGGGTTCCAATACAAACAGCTTTGGGACCATTCGGGATGAAAAGCAACTTTCCAAATTGAGTTGCTTTCAGTGATTTTAATCCCCCTTTTCCTTGATACAAATACAATTAAAAGCGTCATTACAAAACTGGGAAGTTACCGAAAGGGAAAACAGGGAACAATGTAAAAAAATTAAAAAGGTAAAGTTAAAATTGCCCATTCGCTACTCAATGTTCCCTGCGATATGCGTGTCTCGGATGAAAGCCTATAGCCATACCACGCCAGCAGCCATGTCACCCTGCAATTCACAACTGGCAACCCAGTGAAGCTCAGCAGGTGTGAGCCTGGTCAGTACCTGGATGGGAGACCTCCTGGGAAAGCTATGGTTGCTGCTGGAAGCGGTGTTAGTGGGTCCAGCAGGGGGTGCTCACCCTGCGGTCCATGTGGGTCCTAATGCTCCAGTGTAGTGACAGGGACACCATACTGTAAAAAGGCGCCAACTTCAGATGAGACGTAAATCCGAGGTCCTGACTCTCTATAGTCATTAAAAGTCCCAGAGTTTATTGAAAAGAGTACTGGTGTTATACCAGTGTCCTGGCCAAACTTCTCATTGGTTTTTACCAGTCATGGCCTTCTAATCTATGAACTGGCTTCATCACTCTGCTCTCCTCCCCACTGATAGCTGATGGGTGATGAGCGTACTGGGCGTACTATGGCTGCCGTCGCATCATCCAGGTGGGGGCTACACACCATTACCTGTAAAGCGCTTTGAATGGAGTGTCCAGAAAAGCGCTATATAAGTGTAAGCAATTATTATTATTATTATTATTCCACAAAGCAGAGGGAGGGTCTTACCTGGCCGATGTCTCTTCCCCGCGTCAGACGGCTGGGAAAGACTGGGCTTCCGGCCCCCGGCCTTGCCTGCTGTTCCCCCAGGGTAGTGGTAGATAACGGAAGCAGAGCACAGGCCTTCCAGAGCAGCTGAGAGAAGAAACAGCAGCAAGTCACACACAAGGAAAGGAAAAAAAAAAGGAATGGACCCACTGCTGAGAAAATACTATTCCGGTGGTCTCAGGTTTGCGGCTGAGAGCTTCACCAACGACAAATGAACCGTTTAATTTTATCTTAGTTCGTTCGAAGCATTGATCAATCTTTAATTTCGGCAAGAGTTTCCTCATTTAATATATTCGTTTAACGGGAAGATTTTTTTACAATTTTCCACAGTGTCATCAATTTATGTTGAATTATGCAATGGCTGGTTAGAAGCTCCTTTCAAGGAGCATACAGCAATCTCTCAAAATAAGGCGATATGAAGACACTGACTGGAAAGGCGCTTGTGTCAAGTGTAGGAGGTTTTCAAGATCGACACTTCACAAGCTCAAAAGTTCATGAGTCATATGTTCACAACCAGGAACAGGGCTGGGGTTAGTAAGGCTCTCGACTCCCAGTGAAACAATGACCTCTGCTCTGCAGTGCCTTTCGAAGTGCCTTGAGGCTTGCAGTGACATCATGAGATACATGCCACACGTCTCTGCTGCGCTGGCGGCACAGCTGAACAGCTCAAGGGCTGAGCAGGCTCAAGAGGAGCCTGTGTGCAAATCCTCGTTCTCCCTGCGTGACTGTCGAGGTCGTTAATATGGGAACATACAGAGACATACAGGGAACTGGCGATACCACATTTGGTGGGTGCATCACAAAGACAAATCGATTACACATTAAAAAAACTGCAATATGCATAACCATCAAAGATCATGTTCAATCTATTCTTCTACATTCACAGTGCATGTATTGAGCTGATGCTTTCTTCCAAAGCAACTGACATTTGCTCCCTTTCACACAGGTGTGTTACTGGAAGAAACTGAAGCAACTTGCTCTAGGGTAGAATAGCAGTGTTTCACTTGAACCCACAATGTTACAGTCTGAGTCTAGAACACAAACTTCTCCACCGCTCTACTGCTCGATACTATATCAATATTTTATTTACAAAGCTATCTGATTTATTTTTATAAAAATAAAGCAATATAAACTTGAAACGCTTTTTTTTTCCCCAATCACCTTGTATACATCTTTCAACATTTAAGATAATTATACATTATAACGTATTCTTCAGATACCGATATGATAAAATATGATAAAAACACCCCACAAGCTAATTTCTACACTGGAGTCAAATGTAACAAATTTATGCCTATGCCTATGAGTACAACATGTCTATGTTTTGGAAGGATACTGAACTGATTGAGATTAATAGTACTGTCATACACCTTCTCAAGAAACTCTAAGCTCAAATTGAAGCATGTGTTTTTTACATAATATTGGATGTTTACAAAGAATGAACTGATTGATATATGAACATTATGCATCTGTGGAAACACAAGTGCACTTGCCTACCGGACAAAGAGATAACCATCAATCTGACAACTACTAGCAAGGAAAATACCACAAAATTCCTGGCACAATTTCTCAAAAAATGCGTAAAGCTGGAAAATATTAAATGAATCTCTTCTGTGGTTTCTGAGCTTTGGCCATAAATCTAAACTACTTGCAAACCACGTTTTGTTTAATAAGCAGAAATCGAGGTTTTGCTGTTGAATGGGTTAAGAACGACCATGCACCAAAGATGAAAACAGCTGCCATGCATCAGACAAGGAAACAGCTTCTCCTTGATAAGGGCAGCAGGCTGAATCAGACGTGGCTGGCTGTCCATCATGGACCTCGAGCCACGAAGAAATCAAATGCAATGCACTTGAAAAGTTACCACCATGTGGCAGCTGGTGCAGGGTATCCCGTAAAGATCAAGATGACAGAAGTGACAATTCTGTGCACATAACTTCTTTATGAAACCCCCTGGAGGCTGCTACCAGCGCTCATAAATCATGCGCAGACACTTACCTCCCAGCCACAAGAAATCATTAACAGAGCGCAAGAGCTCCACGGCCATGTGATAATGGACCAGAGCATCCTGAAGCATTCCAGCCTGCAAGCACAGGTCCCCAACGTGCTTTCGCATTCGCCCCTGGCAGCGTTTCTTGTAGTGCCTATTGAGAAAGAGAGGGTTACAAATTGGGGAATTAAAATTAAAATTGGCAGAGAACCTGCACTTGCATGACTCTACCTAGTAGACAACAACCTTTCCGATAACCTGTAGCTACCCAAGCCATGTTTTCGAAGCCAATAGCAAGGCTTCTTTCAAGAAACAGCTGGAGGAGCAAGTTAATAACTACCGAATGTGCTAGAGAGGCCAAATGTTTGTAACCCATAAACCTTTCCAATGCGAGTTATAATTTAGAGTAGGGGTGTGCAAAAGGTGATTCAGGGAGCCCCTCGGAGACTGTTCAGGGTATCTCTTAAAAAAAGAAATGCCACCTCTACCTCCATTTCGAGTAGTAGTGAGCAAAACTGGCATAGCGAGTCTGGTCTGATAGCACTTGTGCTGGATTCTAACGTACTTACTGACATGAATAATAATTAGATGCATTTAAACTGGGGATTCAAATCGAAAATCATTTCTTGAAAAAGGGTATAGCTGTTTTTTAGATTAAAATTGGGTCTGGGAATAAAAACTTAAATTAATGCTTTATTAAATGGAATTAATTTACTGTAATGAGGTAATTCCACAGCTGCTAAGTATAATATTGTCAGTTAAATTACATTACTTATTTCAAGTTAGGACACAAAACCGGTTAACATTTATTGAGATAGGGTTAATTGTATCTGAGCCGATTTCTCAAGAAAATGTTTTAAGTGCACGGGAAAAGAGAACTGCACACAGTACTAATTTTAAAGTTCTAGAATGAAACCTGATATGGAGTTCTTTGCCTTGCAAGAATATTCAGACACTGCTTTCACATTTTTATTTTAAAACCTGCAGTCAAGACACTGAAGTTGCAGCTAATATTTGTTATATACACAGCCTACTCCTTACTTCCAAAGCAGAAAATAAGTAAACATCATTAGTAGGAAAGAAAAAACAGAAAGGTCGTGGTTACATATGTATTGAAATGTTTTACTGTAGCAAAATTAAACTAGGGTCAAATTACCTTAAGCAATGATTAGTTGGGTGGCTTTTGTCTGTCTCTGTGTGCAATAAAAGAGGTTTATACACCTATCACTGTAAGGTCTTCAAGTTAAGTAGTGAATGTCAAGCAAAGACTCAACCATGAGAGCTTTCAAAATAAGGGCAAAAATAGGATATATGCACAAGTAGAAGGGCATAGAAAATTCAAAGACCCTTTCTCTCTCTTATGAAGTCATTCATTAAGAAGTGGAAGGCATACAGGCAGTGGCTACATTTGGCTCTCAATCCAACACCAGGCAGAGCAGTGGCACTGTGGCTAAGGATCTGCGCCTGTGGCTGGAAGGCTGCCGGTTCAAATCCCACAGCTGGCAGAGGAATCCTACTCCGTTGGGCCCCTGAGCAAGGCCCTTAACCCCAACTGCTCCAGGGACGCCGTTTAAATGGCTGACCCTGCGCTCTGACCCCATCTGTGTGCCTGTGTGTCTCATGGAGAGCAAGCAGAGGTATGTGAAAAGAAACTCCTAATGCAAGAAATTGTATTTGGAGTGATCTCTCTCAACACACCCTGAAAAGAACTCCACATCCCACATAAGGTTTGCAACAAAGCAGTTAAGTGATACTGCAAACCTGTGGCAAAAGCGTTTGTGGACAGGAAAGACAAAATTCAAACTTTTGTGCCTACATGCAAAGTCTTACATCTGATGCAAACCCAACATGTTGCATTGCTCAGCCAAAACTACTCCTAACATTAAGCACTGTGGCAGCATTATGAGTTTTGCTTCTCATCAGCAGGAGTGGGGAGCTCAAGACTGATGGCAATATAAACAAGAGCAAAGGCAGGCAAATCTTAAGGGGAAAACCTGCTAAAACCGAATCAAAGTCACCTTTGACCAGAACAATAACCTGGAAGCATCAGGCCAAAGCCACACTGGAGTGGTTTCAGAATAAGAATTAAACTGGGTCACTCAATGACATTCAAGTTTCCGACTTGAATCCTATAGAGAATCGATGTAAGACTTAATGAACTGATGTTCTTAACTGATGTCCAAGCAACTTGAGAAAGCTTGAGCAAAGCTCCCAAGAAGAATGAGCAAAAACTATCTTAAGCCAGAGTGTAGTCGGTAAAGTAATATTCAATTATTGAATAATTGTGGCTGTAATGACTGCCAAAGATGCTTCCACCCAATATTGAGTTTAGGGTCTCAATACTTATGCAATATACACATTTCAGTGCCTTCTGTTTAACACATTAAGTGTACAGTATGCATAATAATGGAATTTCACAACATGGGAAGAGTGTGAATACTTTTGCAAGGCATCACAACTTGTGTGGTCACTGGTAAACATTCAGCCATCCTTAAAATTACTTTAAAATCACTCTGAAGTGTAGCAGGGATTTTTGCAGCTTGCCAGGTTTTCATTTTCCACTTTACCAGAACATCCAAAGACTTCCAACTGGGCTAGGGTGACCCAGAATGAATGCTCCGTGAAAACAAGGACAGGAGAGTGCAGGCCTTCCAAGTACAAATTGTAAGGCTCATGGCACTATCTTAGGAGCTGGATTTAAAAAAGGAAGCAGAAGCACATTTCTGAAGACCTAATGAGGCAAAAGTACTCATTTTCTACAGAATACAGGACCATCATGCAAGACCTCTTTGTTTTTGGAAGCTCAGTGCAACAGAAGGTTAAGTGTCATCCCCTAAAAAGACCCAATAAATTAAAATATATATATTACAAAATATAATAATCTTTATATATAAACCATTTTACAGTTGTGTATCAAGAGGTTTGAAGACAACTGAAGTTAAAGCTGCAGAAATACTACCATTATCTAATAATGCAATGTTTATACATACTATTATCGTGATTTACAATATTATTAGCACATTCCAAACTGTTTTCAAGATCAACATTTTCATCAGCTTTGCACATCTGGGCATTCGATTTGGATTTTGGCAAGGGGAAAGCCAATCTTGTAAGATACAAAAGAACATGATGCTGAAAAATACGCAAAGTTCACAGAAGAAGCAAGGAACGAGTAGTTGCATACTGCTCACATTCCCAACAACAGGCATTGTGATGGTCATAAATTTGGAACATCTTACAGGGCCAAATGAATCCCTTCTCCAGCCTTGTACCTGGAATTAAAAAATAACTTTCTACCTCCATTCACAAAAGAAATACAGTACATGGAAGCCATAATCAAATTCATGTTTTCAAGAAAGGCAAGATGGTAAGCCAAGCTACAGTAATGTGTAACACATGAATTCTCATATGAAATCCAGGTACAGGTCTCTATAACTTAATGTAAAAACTGGGAGGGGAAGGACACTTAACCTTCTAGCCCAAAGGGTCTTCGGAGCCAAAACAACTCCAAGGATTTACTTGGCCACAGGTTCCACCATTTCAACCACAAATTCCTTCAATTTGTATTTTGCTCATTTTCAAAGTGAAGTGTTGTTTTTATTAACGATCATGTCCTCACCAAAAATGTGCTGAATTAGTGAGTCTTGGTTTCTTTTCAGCTCATAGAAAAAAGGAACAGTTTCAAAACCATCTTCAAAATGGGATAAAACCATCAATACACCTATAATTCTACATAAAGAAGGAAATTTTAAAAGAAAAGAAAATGCTCAAGACAAGGGCTGGAGCCGATTTCTTTTCAAGTTCATTTCTTTCCTCACATTTTAAACTGCAAAGCTTGCAGTTTAAGGCATAAAGCTTAAATAATAAATTTAAGTTTTAAGTGAATACATTTAAGTGGGTGAAGATCTTTTTAAATTAAAAAACAAGTTGTTTTTGTCGTTGTTGGATCCGTGGCAGTACACATTGCAGCACTCGTCTTGATCCCAAGAATAAACAACTTGGCATAAAAAAAAAATCATACGTAACAGAACGCTCAAGATTTAGGGAAGAGTTTTGATCATGCAACACGAGAGGCAAGACAAATGCAGCAATTAAACTAATGTTTAAATGAAAGTTCAAATAACAATAACAATAGCGAATTCTGAAGTTTGTTATTAATGATTTTGATAGATTATTGATTTATTTGATTGTATTCACATTCATTTCTACATGTATAATTTATGTAGAGCGCATTGAGAATGCCCTGAACTGAAAGGTGCCATATAAGAATAAAACTGACTGATCGACTAATTGACTGAAATAAGCAGAGAAAATAACGACCCTGGCACAGCTTAGTTGCGATCAAATCTGACCATCCTGTGCCCTGAAACAGGTCTGAAGTTTAGGAGCCAGCATGCATTAGCAATTACACAGTTTGTAGTGTAGCTACTAAATGATTCGCATTTTGCTTTTAATTGCTGTTTGCAATGACGTTGCCTCTTCTGGGTAAAACGAGATGCGATTCAGCATCCGCAAAACAGCAGATCTGGAATTACAGAAAATGTTTCTCTGTAGTTTCTGATGCAGCGTTAAAACAACATTGAGAATCCTTCATGGTTTTCAGCATTTTGGAAGTGACTACATGCATACGAATTTCTTTCGTGTACCTGTTAAAACCCATTCTAGTTTAACACCGAAACTGTAGGGTTTATATTCATTCGAATAAGCCGTAGTATATTTAAATTCCAATGACAGCCAAGATTTTCAAGAAGAAGGTTGTAATCCCCTTAGTTTTGTCTCAATAAGGTTACCATGACTTTTCAGCGAAAATAATGGAAAGCCTGGCATTTGAACTTTTGAAATACTGACTATTTTTAACCCACATACTGTTATTGAGGTTCAAATACCTCAATAGTTACATTGAGTTGTCTTACAGAGACACGCAAGAGTTGAAAAACTGAGCAAAAGAACTGAATTGTGATGTCTGGAATTTTTGGTTGACCTGACACGTTATAAATCCAGCCGACACAGCCTTAAAAACAAATAGGAAAGGAGGGCAATGTCTTTGGACTTCAGATCTAAACCACAGACACTGAGACATTAGAGGTTTCTTGCACGGGACAGGGGCTCAAGCCAATGGATCACATTATGGATTTCGCTACTGCAAGGTGCAAACTAGACTACAGCTCACCTTTTGACACCCAATAACAAACTCACAGGACAGTATGGAAAAAAAAAGAAGAAAGACAAATAAAACAAGAGAAATCACTTAAAAGAAAATAAGCATAAAAAATAAAAACGAGGCTTAACAGTGTCATGTGCTTACTTTGCAAAACATCTAATAATCTAAAGAAACTTATATCCCTCATATGTACAAATGAAAAATCATTTTGTTGTTGTTTAATTGCATTTGTAGTTTTGAAGTTTATCTGGTTTAAATGTTGTTTACATTTCCTTTATTACTTAAAGCATTATTGTATTTTAACATATGGCTGGGGAGTGTCCTGTGATACAGGCCTAATAAATGCTAGGGGCAGTCTTTCCTTTCTGCACAATGGACAGGTAAAGAAAATGAACCGTGACTCTGTATGAATTGTTCTTTTTGCAACAGACAGGAAGTTAGCGGTCAACCTTGCATGGGAAAGATGTACCACTGTAACACTCATAAAAGAAAGTATTAAAACAGATGCATCCAATAATTAACATCCAAAAAAAATCAAACTTAAAACTATAAGAACGACTTTTTGTTAAGCAGATTAACCAATTTAAACATTGCTACAACGCTAAAAAGCAGGTATTACTTATATTGGAATTTAGCACAGTTACACTCAATCGGTGCTACTATTCTGCTTTGATAGTGAGTATAGCCTGTTACACAAATAATGACTGCTCTTGCTATTATTAACCTGCAGTTAACTGAATTATGAAGAACTGTGCTTTACAATAACAATACATATTAACAATTGACATTTCTATAACCATTGCTCATTGGGGAAAGATTTTGCTCTAAGAAGATGAAAAAGCAAGAACAAAGTCAAAGCATTTTTCCCCCCATTTGATCCTCAAAATGCAATCAGACTGAACCCAGATCAGCCTCAGTATGTGTGTGAAAGAGAAGGTGTCGCGCCGGTGAAGGTGTCTCAGTAACTTCATTTATTAAGAAGACAAACAGAATAACTGAGAGAGGTGAAGGTTCCTTCATAAATACACCAAAGTCTTGACCATTGACAGTGTCTATAACAGAGATTCGCTCATTTAGGTCAAGTGAATGTATCTTCCGTCTTTCATTCTTCCCAGCACTCTGAAACACTTGGTTTAAATGAATGGCGCACTCAACTGTTCTACATTAATTCTATATTAACCAACATTTCCAGGTCTTCCCTCACTGACCATTACAAGTTGCCTCTACAAAATGGGAAAAACCCAAGACAGTGAATACCCCAGGTCTAGAACTTCTCCCCTTCCTTTTGTAGGGAGGGCTCAAAAGTAATTCAACGAATACAACCTCAATCTCATTTACCTAAAAATGAATTTAAATTAAACAAGATCTTTATACAGCTAACCTGCGACCAGACTTGCTCAGAAATCTCTCACTGGTCTAGGTTACAGTCATTTTATCTGTCTCGCGGACTTACACATTCTCCTATACTTCTGATTAATTCATATGGCTTTGTCTTGTGCAGCAATTTGAAAGAAATAAGATAATTACATGGCATTTGAAAGTAAGGTGAGCTGTTTTTCAGTATGTCAGACAAATGCTTTCCGTGAGATCACATTAAACTTGATGGAGACTATACTGAAGTGTTGCTATATATTGTAGCAGGATATGCTTCCAGATTTCCAACAATAGTTCCCACTACTACACTTGCTACAATTCCTACTACGTGCATTACGGTTTAGTAGCCTAAAGACGAACTCAATGCAGAGATTGGGAGGAGAGAAAAGACACAAAACGTAACATTTTAATGAGCACTTTAAAATTCGACCAGGATCACGCTTATACTACTGATCCCAATTTGGATCATTTAGAATCACGGGATTCAGTGCGTTCTGCTATGGAACTGGGGGAAAATACTATGTGAAAGGTAAAGAACTCACCTGCTATCAGTATCCAGACCAACAAAGTCCTTCTTTTCAAAGGGGACGCAGAGCAAAGGGATCTTGTCTCCTGATTTGTCGGTGGCCCTATCCAGGCGCTTGGACTCCAGCACGATGAAGATGGACTCGATGAAGTCCTCCACTCTTCTCTCCACGTCCTCGCACTCGCCGTAGCTGGGGTAAAAGGCCACGTCGGTCCGGGCCTGCTCGGTGACCTCCCCCCGCAGCCCGAATACCAGCAGGCGGGAGTCGTAGAGCGTGGAGCCGAACACCTCCTTCTGGCCGTGGAAGCGCTCGGACGTCTGGGGCCAGTCCTTGGCCGCCGAGCACTCGGTCACCGCGATCAGCCCCACCACCTTGCGGTGCGTCTGGAAGTCGCCCCAGTCGTTGTTCTCCGGGGGGTAGTGATGCCGGTAGCGGATGAACAGGACCCTCTGGGAGTCGCGGATGCTGACCTGGCTCACGCTGGCAATGCGTTTGTAAATGCGGAAGAACTGATCCTCGGGGACCAGACCCACTGACTGCACCGCCACCAGCACCGTCTGGTGATCCTCGGCACACTGCATGTAGTCAGGGACGCTCATCTTTCACACAGCTGCGGACAGGGGGGATACAAGACAGGGACAAGCTTGATCCCCCTGCTCTCCTGGAAGAGACCTAGACCTCATTCTGATCACCTTCATCGTCACCAGCAGCTATAATCACCCTGCAACTCACACCTGGCAGCCCACTGAAGCTCAGCGGGTGTGAGCCTGGTCAATACCTGGGTGGGAAAAACTAAGGTTGCTGCTGGAAGAGGTGTTAGTGGGGCCAGCAGGGGGCGCTCACCCTGCGGTCTATGCAGCCTTTTTTGTCCTTCAGATGAGACATAAAACCGAGGTCCTCTCTCTAGTCATTAACAATTCCCAGGATGTTTCTCGAAAAGAGTAGGGGTGTAACCCCGGCGTCCTGGGTAAATTTCCCATTGGCCCTTACCAATCATGGCCTCCTAATAATCCCCATCTATGAAATGGCTTCATTACTCTGCTCTCCTCCCCACTGAGAGCTGGTGTGTGGTGAGCGTTCTGAAGCACTATGGCTGCCGTCGCATCATCCAGGTGGGGCTGCACACTGGTGGTGGTGGGGAGTCCCCATTACCTGTAAAGCGCTTTGAGTGGAGTGTCCAAAAAAGCATTATCTAAGTTTAAGCAATTATTATCTTTACATCAGGGAAATGCACATTTTCCTTAAGTACCGAGAGCAATTTGGCATGCTCAAAGTTTAGGATTACTTACATGGCATGAACTCATCAATTTAATTAATCTAACCAAGTTCCAAGTTTAGGAACCGAGAAGCAAATTCAGCAAGGTTTTTGAACCTAATGATGAACTGTCTTCTCATATTTTGAATTTGGCCAGCAACCAAGCCACCTAATAACACAATATCACAGAAGATAAGCAATGCACTGGCTTGGTTACTACTGGAAAGTTCGAGTTACGAGCGCTTCTGCTGGAGGTAGTTCTGATCGTGTTACAGGCTGGCTCTTTCAAGAAGCGACATACTGGCGATTAAACAATCTGAGTTCCCGGCTGACTTCTACCCTTTTTGTGGGTCTTTAAACCCATTTTTGTAACTAGATCCGTTTAAAAGGAATACAGTCTGGTAATGCAACTCTTCAATCTTCATCCCAGCTCATTCTGCTCTAAAACAGTTCCCATATTCAAACGCCCCCTCTAACCAGAGGAGTCTAGACCCCTGTGTGATTTAAACAGCTACTGAGATCTCTTGCGTTTTAATCCAAACACTTGTTTCAAAGAAAGTTGCTGCTCTTCCGTTCTACAGGAGACATACTCTTGCACAGATAAGTTCCAAATGAAAGAAAGGTCTTTTACAACAAACAGAAACTTACATCTTTCACTAACATTCGTACAAGCCTGAGACTACGAAACCAGACGTGAAATCCACCCACCTCCCTAAATAAAATAATAAAACGACAGCTAACGGTTTTCCATTTTGTTGTTACAACATTAAATACGTTTTTTTTTTATTATAGTGCATTTAACATATTATAAGCTCAAAATTAAATGCCAAAAAGCAGTTGAACATAAAGAGTACACTAGACTTGTATCACAGGAAGACGCGCCAAACCTGTAGGTTTGTAGGTTAAAACTGCAGATAATTGACGGCAGGTGTGAAAAACAGCCACATTTCGCTGGTTCAATTTGCAAAACCCTCCGTTTCTGTTGGGATTGGTGTGTAGAGGTTTAGGATGCATGCATTGCAATTTCTGCAATAGTACTTAACGTAAAGTGTTTGACGTTTTCACTTCCATTGAACTGTTTCTTGTGTAATTTAGCCGACGTGGTTGTAACTCACAGCTAGGCAAATACGTTTGCACCCTAAAACCCTTCACAGTAATTAAAAGAAAGCCTGACTCGACTTACATGCCCACTTTCTGCGCGTTTCCCGTCACAAATCCAGGCAGCTTTCTTGTAGCATTCCTTGAATGGCAGGAGCAACTTCCTGCTTCCTAATTGCTACAAACCCAGAAACAGGGGAATGTGTTTATTACTATTGCTTAACGAGTCCATCAGTTACGGACTGTTTACCTGGAATATGTATGTAACGTAATTAAAATCCAGAATTTTCAAATTAGCTTGTTGGAATAGCACAAACGTCTTCTATATATGCATGCGTTTTATACTAGTAACAACCTCGTACCCCTACAGCGGTCGTTTAGTTGATCTTTCCCTCCTCACCGTGTTTGTCCGCATATTTTTGGAAGGGTAGTGTGCTGGGCTATGCTGTGCAGTCTGGGCAATAGAGTTTTATTTTTTAAAAAACTTCCGTTTGAACGAACAAATAACTGTTAATAATAATAAATATGTACTAATGTTTAATCGGTGAAAACAAGAATGCTGTATAACATCGCAGGTGTACTAATGATGTGACGTAGATCACACTGACAGTGATTGAGTAGTTAACTAGCAGAAATATTTAAAGGTTTGAGTGTTTGTTAGGATATAGTTAGCTATTTCTCTGGGATATTTTACATTTTGTAAGTGCAGCTGTTAAACTCTCACGCATACACGCATACACACATTTTTGTGTTGGTTTTGTGGACTGCAAATAATATCCTACGTCAGAAAAGGAATGCTGCTGCTTCCTCTTGAGATCAAGTGCTCAAGCTACAAATTCGTGTTTAAATAAAGTTTGGAAGACCGACCTGAATAGTGGGAGTTGTAGTTCCGTGGTCGTTCCCCCAGTGCTTTAGCAAAAGGCACGTTGTTTCCGCTTAAACTACAACTCCCACTTACAGCTCCCCTCATGTACTCAAATCTCTATTTACAGAATGCTGTGGGACAGTTGTGTTTTGTAAAGATGGCGGGGAACAATGTGGATGAGAAACAGAATCACACAAGTAACAAACATATTTCACTTCCTATTTCCCGGGTTAAGCTGATAATGAAAAGCTCTCCTGACGTTTCCAGTATTAATCAAGACGCCCTTTTTCTGACTGCTAAGGCTACGGTAAGGACAGAGTAGTACAAAAAACAGCTGTTATGGTCATAATGTTTGAGCACATTCCGTCTACTTTCTAATGGAAGCATTGGATGTGTGATATCCAACGCCTGTAGATTAATTAAATATTGTTTAATGTATGTTCTTAGATTTCTAACAAATTATAAATTAGAATCTAAATGTAAAATGTTGCGAATTTAAACGTCAACTACGACTGCAAGGCATTTTTAAACGATCCAAGTACATCCTCAGCCACTGTTGTGACTGCGACTAGATTTAGGGAAATTGGAGTAAATTGGCCGAACGATTATTGAGCATGAGCAGTTTGCACGATAGGCCGCGTTTCTGTAACTGTTTATGACTGGTTGTGGGTGTAAAACATATCGCATCTACTATTCAGATGATGGCTTAAAAAAAACGATTTAAAATTATATTTTCTATTCAGTTTAATATAATGCGGTTCATGAGATTTTGAAGGGGTTTTCTGATGCGCAATAAAAGCAGTTTTAAATTATTCTGAACATGTCTTTAACCATTTTAGTAATGGGTAAGTTAGAATGATGGACTACCTATCAATTTGGAGTCCTTTAACCAAAAAGTTTGAAGAAGACTTTGTCGAGGTTTTTTTTTTTGTCAAGAACATACTGTATTGTTGTCATAGAAGTTTGAGAACAAGATCAGAAACCACCGTGGTTTAAAGCATGAACTCTCTTTTGACACTTTAAACACTTTAATAGAATGATACTGGATATGTTTGGAGTTAAAAAAATATTGAGCTAGTTAAACAACAGCAGTTAACATTATAGGTTGCATTTTGCTTAACAGGTGATGACCCACTGTGGGTGTGTCAGGTACAGGTGTAACCAGTGAGATGCAGCCAGGGCTTGAGGAAAGCAGAGAGGTGTAAAGATTATTATAAAGCTTTTGTCTTAACTTTTGAGTTGCAGCATTCACAAAGGTTTGATTTTTAAATTAAATCGGACAGGTTTCAGTTCTGTCGGTCTAGCAGTTCCTAAAGCTTACCCCACTTGGGACCTGAAACTCCCAAGAATTTAAGTCTAGAAGTCACCAAAGGCTTCCATCCTTTGAAAGTGTAAACAGGCAGCTGTATGAAAGCTGTTGGTGCATCATAGCGTTGTCCCTAGTTCTGGAAGGCAAGGTGCTGGATCAGTTCAAACTGTCCTCCCTTGCAGTGGCACAGAGAATATAGTGATTGAGCTATTTGGAATCTCAGCAGTTCTGACAATTCATGATTGTGGCACCATGCTTGCTTTCTTTTCACAGGAACTTTTTGTGCAACACTTGGCAACCTACGCATTCAAAAAAGGCAAAGGAAAAGAGAAAAATTCGCTGACGTACAGTGACCTTGCAAATGCTGCAGAGGAGTCAGAGACCTTCCAGTTTCTAGCAGGTGCATCTCTTACCACTCACAAACCTATGACAGTAGTTCCTAATGCTGGTGACCCACATTCCTGCTGGGTTTCATTCCTTCCCACCTTAAGTTAGATATTTGGAGCCTTACTCGATCTAAGAAGGTGCTTCAATTGAATATTTGCATTTCGTTTCTTGGGATTTGATTTCACTTACCACATACAGCGGTTAAAGCACCAACACGTTTGAGAGCCGGGAACAGTCGGTTCAAACTAATCTCATTATTAAGTCAATGAAGGGTTTGGTTGTGTAACTGAGGGCCTGGCTGGAGCAAACTCCAAGAGGTATGTGGGTCACCAGAACCAGGGTTGGGTACCACTGTTATAAAGCCTGATCTCCGCAGTTTCCAACACCCAAACCCACCCACTCACTTGGGTGCATCTTGTGACCTTGAGATCTGTGGTCCGTCCCCATCTTCTCTTATTTATCGGGAAATTGCTGTCACATCAAGAGAAATTGGTTGTTAAGACCATAGGCACAGTTTTTCATACAGTGTATTTAATTAAGGTCTGGGTAGGCAGATGTATGTCCTACCTTTTTAAAACTTAAGAAAGTTCAGGTTTTAAAAAAGCAGGCTTATGTAGTAATGAGCTCTTTTGTGTTCACTTAAGATTCCTTGAAAAGCAGCATTATTTTTGAGAACCCTGGAAATAGATATGCGTTTTGGTGTAGTATCTTTAAGCCCATGTAATATGGAATCTAAATGATATGTTTAAGTTATCAATAGATCATTTGCATGTATTAATCTGCCGATTAGAGTACTTAGTGATTTTATTTGACGGTGATTGAATATTTTATAGAAATCCCTATATTTTGATACGTGCTGGCCACTTTATTCTGTAATTCTGTGACTGCCTTCCAGTCAGGCTAGGGAATGAGTGATGTAGTGTTATATTTGTCTTTCATACAAGGATGTAATGTCGTACTCCTTACTGTGGTTGTTAATTTTTCAGATATCCTACCAAGAAAGATTCTGGCACGGGATTACCTGAAGTCGCTGGAGGAGAAGGGAGAAGACAGCGAGTGAATTCTGTTGCTTGGGATGTGGAAGAACAGCCAGGCTCTCAGGCTCCAATGAACTCCTCTTAGCCTCTACACTCCTGACCCCCCAACAATCTGCCACTTGCCAAAGAAAACGTAATATTTCTATCATATAAAGGGCAGGCTCATATCTTTTTTTTTGTTCATTTTTCCTTGATCTGCTCAATTCAGGTGGAGGTACGTGACTCCATGGCCCAGCCCAAGTTTTTGTCAACCTCTTAAAACTGTCCAGCAGCATAAGAGCTAGGAAAAGTAGGAAACAAATCCTACTAAGTAAATTACAATAAAGATCTTGGGCGAGATGACATTTACCACAAAAGACCATATGGCTCACACTCATGTCACGGTCTTGAGGACGACAAATTGCTAACAAATCACCCTAGCAAACCTTACCTTTGTTGTTTGCAATCGGAGATTTGTCTTATGTGACAACTTAATTTGAGAGTTCTGTGTTCTGACGTCTGAATAGTATCCTCACAGATCACCCCTTTTTTCATATATCGGCTCCAGTGAAATACCCATATACTTCTGTTTGCCTGTTCTCAATACAAAAAACAATGTTTTCGACCACTGCTGGTTGCAGTACTTACAGACATTGAACTACC